TAAGCTTATCTGACTACGCCCAGCATCGCCCCCCCCGCCATCTCCGAATGCACCCTGACAGGACCCCCGTCCTGGTTCATTCGCCACTCCGTTGACGTAAACCAAGGCTAGCCCTCCAGAGCGCGGCCACTAGTACCCCAGACTCCGACCGGTTGGTCCGACCGCTGTCAAGCGCCAGGAAGCAAACGCCCGGCCATCGGCCTACTCTCTTTTATACCCTCCGTGCGTGCGGAACCCGCGTTAGCCTCCTCTGTGTCGTCTCACCCTTAGCGGAGGTCCCGAAGGACTTGGCTCCGCGGAGCCCGGCCAGCCTCTAGTACCACCCGGCCTCGACAGGCTGCCGTGCGGATCTGCCCCCCTTTTCGGGCCGGGTTCCCGTAGGTGAACGCTCCCCCTTTCCCCAATCCCCGTGTGTCGTTCTTGCGCAACGGTCATGCTAATCTTCTCCATATCAGTGCAATTTTTCGGATGTCCCGAAGGATTTCCACCCGCCCGACACTTCAACGCTCACTCGGCCCAAGCCGCCTTGCCACTGCGCACACCCCTAGTTCGTATTTCGAACCTTATGCGGGCCGGCCTCACGCTGGGGCCATGCGAATCTTCTCTCCACCTCCCCACCTTTCGCAGGCCTCCCAGTTCCTCCGCCTGCCCCTACCCCCGTCCTTCGTCCAGGTTCGTTCCCAGCCTCTATACTGTTGACCGCGCAGATCTTTCCTACACCGATCTGATCTCCCGGGGCACCGGAGAACTTTGCCGTATCAGCACTTTCGGGCTTCCGCCCGTCCTCACGCCACTCCTCTCTACAACTTTCCTCGCATGGACCTAGCCCTATCTCGAGGCCGGATTCAGACATCCGCACACCCGCCTGGCCATAGGCCCTGGGGCAACCCTACGAGCCCAAACAACCCCTCGTTTGCACGTACCCAGCCTGTTTAGCGGTCGGGGTCATTCTCTGTTTGTGGGTATTACCCCTTAGCGCAGTTATCCCGCGAATCTACCGATTCGATTTTTACGCCGCCCAGGATAGCGCCCGCGGCCCGTCGCGGCCGGAACAGCTCCACCCACCGGTCCTCTACTGGATCCAACCCCTCCTCCTTATTCCTGCACGCGCACCTGGCTCGGCTAACGTTCCAGGTCCGCTCACGGGGTCTGCCTCCGTCACCCTTACCTGGCCAACCATGCAGACCCCCTTTGTGTCGCCCTGGCATTGATGAGTGCCTCGGGGAAACCTGACTACAGCAGACGCCCCCCCCGCCTCTCCTTTTAGCAGCCCTCAACCTTAATCTCAATGGGGTTTAAGTAACCCTCAAAAATAAAGAAGGAAAAGTAAGGCTGGGGGATCGTTTGAAGGGGGAAGCGAGCCGCGGGCCCTGCCAGTGCTCCCGTAGCCTTGCGGCGCTGGTCCGTGGTAGGGCTCCCTTAAACACAAAAAAAGAAAGGGGGATAGTTCCGCGGGACCCTCAACCCCTCGGCATCTCGCCGCTCCATTGCTCCCGTGCCGCCGTCCGCCAGTCTTGATCCCCGTATCTCCATGTCACAAGTCCATCGCTGTAACCAATAGGGCTAAGCCCAAGCCTGTGACTAGCAGGCGCGGCTTCCCACATGAAGTGGTATCGCGAGCCCTGTCGCGCCAGGATACCGCCCCGGTTACCCTCCCAGCCCCCTAAGTGTTTGTGCCAGCCTACCACCGGTCGCGCGCGCCGACAAAAAACTACAAAAATAACAGACTTTTACCCCTAATCAGAGCCGTAACATGGCCCGGGCCGGTCGACTAGACCGGCCGCCTATCTCAATCAGAAAAATCACACGTGCGCCTCAAGATTGCGCGTCCACATACTCCCTACCGGGACAAGGCAGACCCTGACCCTCGCGCTGACGACCCTCACATTCTCCCGCATGGGCACTCAAAATCCTGGTTAGCCGAGCGTTTCTGTCACTTGCAAAAACCAGGGCGGATACCCTTGTAAGGGTATTCGCTCCGACAGCTTACCAGACCATATTAAGCGACGTCCCCGTCGCGTCTCCAAATAAAAAAGTTTTAGACTTCCTCACATTCCAAATGCTGACGAGATTAGAATCAATCTGATTAGCCGACGGACTTCAGGGTTGAGGCCTCCATCAGACCGTGCCACCACAACTATATGCTGCCAGGGTTTCAACCTGGGTCTCCCTCGCCCTGACACCAGGACGCCGGTGTATTACGCATCAATACTACAACATAAGTTCCAAAGGCCACTAAACCATCCTCTTCTTTTTCGTCCTAGACAACCGCCGGCCTCTCGTTGGGTGTCCCAGTTAACCTCTTTCTCGTAAGCAGAGCCATAACTAGCGACGCGGGCTTCGAATGAGACCTATGAAGACATTTTTGACTTCTCTCAACAATTTTCTCACCACCAACCAAAATACATACATATAGCTTATAGCCTTCTCGGCCTTTTCTGCAGTCTAGTACAGAAATGCCAGGTCCCTATCTGGGCCCACCGTAGCCTGGCTGATCGGGCCAGGCCTACGGCCCACCGCGTTGTTACCTTAGCGGCGGTATCCTCCCGCTGGTTATACAACGACAGGTATGTCCCCGATAATCAATCCATCAGGGCCTCCAAAAGACTTGACTCTTATCCTGCAAGACAATTTCCCTGAGGCGGGCAACTCCCCTTAAACTCTTACCTTGCCCCACAGTCGGGTTGTGCCAGCTAGTAGCCATCCACTAGGGGTTGCGCCCAGGTGACACTAAGCTTTACTGTTAGCTTGGTATCCCTTTAAATATGTCTCAGGATTAGCACAGGTGGCCAATCGGGGTGTCACAAACAAACTTACAGGCCGCTGCGGGACTACGCAGAGGTCTGAAGGCATTTACCGACCCTCCTATAATAGGTACGACATCCTTCGCTCAATCACAAACCATCCCTGCCGGATTCACATGGCCGCGACTCCCGACTTGATCAGAGCTAGCAGTCGCCCATCCTGAGGCATCTCTCGCCCTTTCCAAATGTTTCAAGCAAACATGTTTCCCTCTCGTCAGACTTTATCAACACAAACAATGTTTTCTATACCAGTCGACTTCTTACTCACTTTTACTTTAGTAAAGGGCGCCTCTCATAAAAATTTCCTGGCCATCCCCTTTTTGTATGGGATGACTCCTAACACGACCTCTTCCAAAATCATGAAGGGGCCTACATATAATGCAATTTCCACCTAGATAACCATGAAGGGGGCCTTAATCATCAAACAACTCAAATTGAGGGACCACCTTCTAGGTCCCTATACAACCTAGTAGGCAACGGTGTTTAGTGCGACCAAACATGCAAACTCCTGAATCAATCAATCCCGTAGGATTCTCACAGTTTTTTTTTTTTTTTTTTACAAACAGGCTGCACTTCCCCTCCTTATACTCTGCCTTCTCGTCCGCTTGCAGCAGACCGCATGAGTATACCGGAGGGTAGACAACTTTATGATTTATACAATCATGCCCATGAGATGTATCCTGTACCTCTCTCAGATAAAACCAAACATTCATCGAGACAAATCCACACATGTGAGAGTGATAGTGATCGTCACAAGGCAAGTCTCATAGGATCTCAACTCATAGTATACTCAGGGAGTAGAATGCCTCCCCCCAACAATCGAATACAAGCACTCAACTCAACACCCCGCCTGTCTGAGTACAACAGAAAAATTCCCACGAGAAATGAAAGTTGAAAAAACATTCCATAAAAAGCAAATCCTTCATATTTATAAATTATCATTCCAATGTTTATTCAATTCTAGAATTTTCAGTTTTATTTGATAAGTTCCCGTCTAAATATGAGTCTTCCCTTCCAACTATATCTATTTGTTCAAGATGGAATGAAAGTCTGGATAAGTTTATGAAATGTTTTAATTAAACTTTCATTCTACTACAACAAATATCTTCTAATTTAGATTGGATTAAACTTTTTATGACAGGAAATCCTTACTTAGAATATCAGTCCAATTAAAATGTTTCATGAAATCATCCAGACTTTCATTCCATCTCTAACATCCAGTTCAAATAAGAAGGGATACCCCATTATTGGAAGGAAAGTTTTCAAGTAAGACGGAAAATTTTAAAATTGGAATGATATTTTTTAAGACGGAATGAAAATTTGAAATTTAGAATGTAATTTTACTATAGAATGATTATTTAATTCTGGGAAACTTTTCTGTTGTAGGACTCATAACCCCACTGTACACTCATCAAGTACACTCGGGAACACAGCATCTGCCTAATCATGCACATAATACCTAGCCCTTGTCCTCTCCTACTGGGAAAACTTACACCCCGAGTGCTATAACCCCCCAAATCCCATTCAGAGCAGCAATAGCCTCTGAGTCACGAAACCAAATATAACTAAATGGTCTCATATATCACACAGCTGAGTCCTACCCCTGGGTCGTAGCCCACGAAGAAACTCAAGGGGAAACAAGCGAACAAAAGTCAAACGTATATGTGCAATCAGATAGAAACTCATTCCACCACTCCTACGCACACACACATCTAGGACCCTCTCAACTGACTCAAGATATGCACACCCCTAACCCCGCCCTGTGTGTGTCAAGGATCTCTAGTCCTATCAATATATAGACAGACCGATCCCTACTTACACAATTCCTCCTGGTTTTGCCTATATAACTGAGCCCTGGCCCCATTTGGAGCTCGCTCCACTATCCTGCCCTGTCTGTCATAGAATTTGTCGTCGACCTCCGCAACTCGCTCCTCGGCCTTATCCTCAAGGAGCTCTGGGCAGTCCACGGCTCTATGCCCTTCCTCCTTGCACCAAAAACAGGAGGTATCGTGCCACCTGACAGTCTTTTTTTTTCTTCCTTGCGAACTCGATGCCGAAGGCGCCCCCATGGTCCCAGTAGTCACATCATGACACGAGGACGATCCCATACGGCCCTGGGGTCCGGTCTCCATAGCCTCAGCACCTCCACCCCTTCGTGCGGCTGTGCTCCCTAGCCTGTCGTCTGGCATATCCAACTCTCGGGTTCCTTTCTCATGAGCCCTCTCTGTCTCCACCACCACCTCATCCCCACATAATTCCGATGGCTGAGGGCTCACGATGGTGGTGGGCTCACTCATGACCTCCTGCTGCTGCTGCTGCCTCGAGTCGGGCCCTCTGAGTCCGTCTCCGTGGCCCAGGAGCCCAGCTCTGCCCTCAACTCTCCCAACCTCGGGGCCTGCTCTGGAGCATCGAGTTTCTGAGGCCTCTTCTGTGGAGTGCCTATCCCCATGGCTGTCGCCAGCTCATGCAAGCGCGAACCTCTCCTCTCCGTGGATATAGTCATGAGCGACTCCTGTGCACCACCTTCCTCCTCAACTGCTTCCAAAGGCACCTCCTCCATCGGTTCACTCTGTCGAGGGACCTCCACTGCTGCTCCTTGGCTCGGCGAGGCGCGCATCCCCCGGCCCTCGCCATCGGCACCGGCTCGCCCTATCTGGCTAGCCTCCCAGGCTACCGAGAGCCTATCCACAGCGGTCGTCATCTCCCCAAATCTCCTCTCCCACTCAACCTCTCTAGCCTGGCTCCTCGCCCTCTCCTCGACAAGTTGGGTAGTCAGGTGCTCTACCTCCAACTCCTTAATCCTGAGCTCATTGCTGAGTAGATTATACCACTGGAAAGATGTGACTGCCGTCTCGCATACCCTCCGATCCATACGCTCAATCGCCTGCCTGGTCGCGGAGAACCCCAAGTCCCCCATCTCTCTTAACTCACTCGTCTCCTCGTCCGCCCGTCCTGCCTCTCGTGACCTCTGGCGGGTTGCATCCCTCTGGCTCTCATACCTAGCCCATAACTCGTCGATCCTCTGCTCACTCGTCTTGGGCTCGACCGGCGGTGTCGGCTCTATCCTCGCCGCCTCCATCTCAGCCTGTCCTGCGTGTATCTCGCCCAGACGGACCCTCACTCGGGCGGACTTCTCTTCGCGGGTCTCTCTTGGGGTTCCTTCCACTCGCGGCCCCTGGCCTCCTGGAGTCAACGCCTCCTCCTCCATCCCTTCGCTCGCACACGACACTACTGGCGGTAACTCTGCTAAAACGGGCTCCTCGATATCCGGGCTCTTGGTCACTTGCGTGGCCGAGGGCAAGTCAAGGGGTGCCTCCATCCTCGCTCTCTCACACACTCCCTGGTCCTCTGCCTCCGCCTTTTGCTCAGGCATAGTGGTGACATCAGGAGAAAGCTCCGGAATCTCCTCACTGCGTGGCTCAGGAATCGCCTCTGGCCATGAACGCTGTGCTGGCTCTGGAGCTGGGGAGCATGGAGGGGTATCGTCCCCAATCGTAATCGCCTCTGTACCCTGAGGTCGTATCGGATCCGGCCGCTCGGCTGCCATCTCAGGATCCTGCGGCTCCTCTCGGTCTCGCATGTCTGTCTCCATCTCGGGGTCGAGGGGCTCCTCCAATCGCACGTAGCACGCCGGCTCAACTGAGCCCTCTCCCAGCCGTGAGGCCTCCCATTGGGATACATCGAGATGAGTCGCTAAGCTTCGGAATGGCGTCTCTCTTGGTATGTCCAACTCCTGCGTTGATGGCAGTGGCGAGGGCGGCCTCAACTCCTCGCTCGTAATCCGCCGAAACTCAACCGCTCGGAGGCCACAAGCAGGGAACAACTCCGCTGCCAATGCGGGCCCTGCGGGCTCATCCTCCCGCTGGGCTGGGGCTCCCCTCGTCTCTCTGGCCAGCCCCGCCTCTCTCGGTGCCGGTTCCCTTGGCCTCTTGCTTCGCCGCCGCCTCTCAACTCTGGGCTCGCGCCTTTCGTGCTGTGGCCGTCCGTAGGCCCTCCTAAGTTGGGCCTGACAGTCCTCCCAGTCTCGAGCCCTCTCCCAAATCTGTTTGGCCACCTGCCTCTCTACCTGCCTCGTCCAGATAAGTAGGGCCCGTACCCATTCCTCCTGCGCAACCCCCAGACTCAACATGTAGTGCTCATACGCGGGGATGAACTCATCTGCGTTCCCCTCCTCCAATCGAATGGGCATGCCATCACGCCCCCTAGGGGAAGTTCTCAACCTCTGCATCCCGGCCTCCACATCTGGCCAAGTCAGGACCTCCTCGCATATCTGAGCGACAGGCTCCTCGAACCGCCCTATACCCCTAAAGTGGTGAATCCTCTCCGCCACTGACCACACTCTCTGTGCCTCATGATCCCGATATACGTCCAAGAAGAGCTCAATGTTGTCGTTATCAAACTCAGGCGTAGGCTCCCTCCTAGGCGGCTCATGCTGCTCGCCCCTTCCCTCCATCCTCTGGGGCCCCTGGCGTGGCCGTGTGTCCCTYCCGCCCCTCTGCATGACTGCCTTCGAAAAGTCAGACCTGCACAACAGGCGAGAGACAATAAACAGGCACACAGCAGGGTCAGCAACTGAGCCATTGGCCTAGGGAAATCCCACATACTCTGCACACCCATCCACCCCAATCACCCACCTATCTAATTACCCGGCCTGGGTAGCACTTAGGTAAAACTCTATTCCTAACGAGTTCTCATGGTCCCTTACCTATTCCCTGGCCACAAACTTCTTCAGCCTTGTCCCTGATACCCAGTCCTGCCATCCTGCCCCATCCAGCTTCTCAATTTGGTAGGCCCCAAACTCGCCACACCTCACGATCCTATAGGGTCCCAACCACTGTTTGTCGAGTTTCCTGGACCATTGCTTTTCTAGCGAGGAGTCATACAACAGCACCACATCTCCAACCTTCAGCGGATCCTTCCTTATTCGGGCCATCTGGTCCCACCTCATCTTATCTTTCATACGACTTCTCTCCACCTGACCAGCGGCCTCTCGTAACCTCTCCTCTGCAGCCCCCCCTGTCGCGCCCATATATTGAGGAGTTCTTCAAAGGATAGGTCCACTTCCAGGTCCTGACGCCTCCACGTCTTCATGAAGCTTTCTATGGGAAAGGTGGCATGCCTTCCGTACCATAGTGTGGCTGGCGCATACTTGGTAGTCCTTTTCACTGTAACATTTTCCACGAAGAATGCTGCTCTCAGGAATTTCGGCCACTGGTTAGGCTTCCCCTCAGTCCATTTGGCCAGGAGATTCGTGATGGTACTATGCCCCCTCTCCACAGGTGCGTTTGCCTGGGGGTGCGCGGCAGTAGTGTAATTTGCTACCACGCCGTACCCCGCAAGCAAGGTCCGCACCTCATTACAAGTAAACTCTGACCCCCGGTCCATCACAAACTCTCTGACAAATGGATAGCGCAAGTAGTACTCTTCGATGCACCTTGCTAAAACTGGGCCAGTTTTCGTACGAATAGCCCGATCGTCCACGAACCCGGTAAGGTTGTCCCGTGTGTCGAAGATATAGTTACTTCCGTCCTCCCCAAGTGGGATGAACAATAGGTTCAGGTGTACGACTGCACCCACTTCCCTTTCCAGTCTGGGGTGCAGAGGCTCCCCCGGCCTTTGCGCTGACCTCTGTTGGCAGGGTACGCAGGACTGACAGTGTTTGATGACCATAGTCAGCATTCCATCCCAATGGTATAGCTCACTTATCTTTGCGCACGTGACACTAACCCCTTTGTGCCCTCCTGCTATACCATCGTGTAAGGCTGCTATGACATCGATCTGTCGGTTCCTCCCACATACGATCCTCTTGGGGTTCCCAACCTGTCGCTTTATAAACAAATGACCATCTCTCACTACGTAGAGATGCCTCATCTTCTGGGCCTTAGCACTTGCGTCCCTATCCCTCATCTCGCACGACAGGAGTAACCCCAACTCTCGATTAATTCCGTCATACTCCTCAGCACGGAAGACCTCCCTAATCTCTCCCTCTTCGAACTCGTCGTCCTGGCTCTCAGGAATAAGAAGTTCGCCCTCTTCGGAGCTGACTGCGCTCCTCTGGTCAAAGTTCCCCTGCAGGAGCGTGTTGGTGAGTAAGTACATTCCTCCCATTAGTTGCTCATGCTCCTCTACCTGGGTTGGGCCTTCCTCTATCGTCCTTACCTCCTCCACTAGACCATGTGTCCCTGCCAATACCAACCTCATCATCCAGCCTACATCCCTACTCCCCCACGGATCTTCTTCCTGGAAGGACTTGAGGACCAACTCCTCCTTCTTCGCATACCCCCTTGGTGCTAGCCATATAGGATGCGTGACGCAGCTTGGCACCCTCAGCGACCATTTATTTATGTGGAGGCGGATGTCCTCCTCTTGGTCCAAGAACCCATCAACCGGTGGGGTATCCTCAATTGATTCCTGATTCCCCCCGTCCCAGTTGATACGGCTCAATCCGTCTGCCCTGTTCTTGTCCCCGGGAATCCTCTCCAACTCAAAGTTAAGCATCCAAATGTAAGTCAACCACCTCGCGATGGTTGGGTCAGATGGAGTGTAACTTTTCAGGGAACACGCCAGCGCGGTAGGGTCCACCCTCAAAATGAGCCTCCTGCCAAAGATATAGTTCCGGAAGGTCCTTAGGCAATGGAGTACTGCCAATGTCTCCTTCTTAAACTGGGAGTAATTCCTCTCAGTTGTATTGAGGGTGCGACTTTCAAACCTTAACGGCCTCTCCTTCCCATCCGCATCTGCTTGAATCAGGACCCCTCCTAAGGCAGTTGGCCCAGCGTCCGTCTCGACAACAAATGGCTTCTTCCCCGTAGCCTCGTAATTCGGCGCTCCCAACACCAAGCCTCCTTCCTTGAATTCTCTCTTCATCCCTTCCACAACCTTTTCCTGGTCTTCGCCCCAGACCCACTCCTGATCCTGACGCACCAGCTTCCTCAAATGCTCCGTCTTGGTGGCGAAGTTCTTCACAAAACTCCTCGAGAACCCGCAGGTCCCAAGGAAGCTCCTCACGTCCGTTATTGACTGGAAGGGGACTGGTCACTCTAGGATCTTATCCGTTTTCTTCACGTCTGGCCTCCGCCCCTTCTCGTTGCAGACAAAGCCCAAAATCGTGGCCTCCCTCATACAATGTTTCGACTTGGGGTCGCTCGCCGTCAGGTTGTGTTCTTCCAGCAGACCCAGAACCTGATCGATATCCTGGACGTGCTTCCAGACGAACCGCCTTACTCCTGGCATCACTTCGTCTTCCTCCTTCTCCTTTGGACCCTTGACTACCAGATCGTCAATGTAGGGCTGAGTGACGTGGGGACTAACCGTCTGCATGACCCTAATCATGTGCCTTTGCACCATTGCCACCGCATTAGTCCACCCCTGAGGTGCCACGTTCATGTGGATCAGCCCCCTTGGCGTATGCATCGCCGTCACCGGCCTATCTAGTGGGTACACAGGAAACTGGTCGTACCCAGAATAAAGATCTATAAGTGAGATTATAGGCCTCCGTGCGCACGACTCTGACAGGGCGTCCGCGTTCGGCAATCCTCCCGCGTCCCGCACCATCATTGCATTCAGTCGTTGAAGATCCTGCACCCACCGCAGCGTTCCGTTTGGCTTGATAAAACAAAACCAAGGGGAAGCATACGGTCCACTGGAGTAATCCGCCACATACGTCCTCATCTTTCCATCCAAGTAATCCACCACCTTCTTCACCTCATCCGGATTCGGGTACCGCGCGCCCCTCAGGTTCCACGGCTCGTGTGGAACGGTATGGATTCGTATCATCGGGATCTTATCCACGTCCAACCTCCCACGCTCGTCATCATTAAACGCATACGCGCAATGCCTCCTCCTCATGGTCTCCACCATCAAGGTCCTTTTCTGGGGCGACAGGAAGCCAGACTCGCCAATTATCAACCCTTCTTCATTCTCATTATTGATGCGACACGGCCCTGCCTGCGCACGTTCCTGCATACGCCTTATCAACCCCCGCTCTCGCTCATAGTAGACTTCCTCATCCTCCGTGACAAGCACGGGGACCGGGCGACACTTCTTGTCTATGGTCTTGTACCGCCTTTGGGAGCCCTGCTTAAGCCCTCCCCTAGAAAAGGCCGACTTGTTGTTCGGGCCAAGGCCATCGCAGGGTCTCCTCTCCTCCCAGGAAGCCGATAGATCAGCTCCACCTCTCCTACCCGAGGGCTTTCCAGGACCTGCTCCCTCAACGCCTTTATAGCCTCAGGGTCCGACATGTCATGCGCCGCCACCACCTCCATTGCCTTATTCACATCGTTAAGGCTTAGGGACAGCACCTCGCCTGCTCCTTCCCCCTCCTGTTCCTCCCGAAGTCTCCGCCGCGCATATTCCGACTCCTCGAAGGTAAAGGAGCCGAGGTTGAGCCTATTCCTCGCACTTCTGGGCCCTGTGTTCCGGCACTTGATGATTTCGTAGTTTTCACAAGCAGGATCGGATAGAGCCAGGATCATCGTCCCCTCATGCCTGTTGAAGACCAAGGTCTCCATCCGGCAGAGGAACGACCTCCCCAGAAGAATAGGGTGGTCGACGTCGGGCATGACGAAGAAGCACGTTCGCGCTCCTACTCTCCCAATCTCCACCATCACATTAGACGCTGTGCCGCAGAAAATGGCCTTGCAGTTGGCGCCGTGCAGCACACCATGGTCCGATTGGTCAACTTCCAACCCTAACATCGTCGCGTCCCGCTCCCGGATGATATTCATTTCCGCGCCCGCGTCCACCATTGCAATGCTCGGCTGGTCCCTCACCTTCAAGTCCACCAACCCACACGCCACACATTTCCAATCCATCCTGGTGCCCGCCTCTGTCCACTCTATCTCCCTGGGCAAAATGAAGCTCAGGTGGACATCGGGCACTAAACTTCGCGAGAGCCGCCCTTTCAGCTCGCCACGGAGCCTTGGTACCGAGGCCAAAATGTCCTTTAGATTCATCAAATCGTTATGGCATTCCAGGAGCTTGTCCACCATTCGCTCCACATCAAAGCCTTCCTCCAGCCGGACCGCGTACTTTTTCCTCTTTGGCATGCCATCATGCAGACTCGGCTCCGCCCCTCCCTGAGCCCCTCTCTTCTTGGCCCTCTGTTCCGCCCTCCAGTCCTCCTCATGCCGGAGCCTCTCGTCCTCTTCGTCATCACCCTCATCTTCCTCTTCTTGAACCTCTATTACTTCCTTCCTTCGTTTGGGCTCAGGGTTCTTTCGAGGGGGCGCCCAAGTGGGTGCCTGGCTAGGCCCTTGACTGGTGGTAGCCTTACTTTGGCCCCTAGTCTGCGCGGCCTGTGTTACCCTTATGCGACGTAGGGGGTCTAAAGGTCATCCCTGATCTAGGACCTGCCCCGACCGTCACCATGCTTGGACATCCTTGCGGTCCTGATGACGACTCCGGACCGGACCCATAAAGCATTACCTCAGGAAGACTCATTTCCCACTCCCGCGCCTTTCCACACATCGCCCTTAGCCGTTCCTGATACCTACCGACCTTTGCAAGCAGGTCCTTCATCCTCTCCGGGATGGTCGAGGCTGACTCTCTCACCACTTCCTGTGCCTCATCGTGAGACTCAACAACTATGGGCTCCTCCTTTATAGTCCCCGCCTTCAACCGCTGAGTTACTTCCTCATTTTCATCCACAATCTCCTCGACTCTTACGCYGGGGTCTTGCCTTTCCTGCCATATCCTAAACATTGTTGGGGCTGCTGGAGGCCCGACCGCTGCCCGCCTGAGGGCTTCCTGCCTGATTCCAACCGGGATCTTGGGGTCAATGTGCATTCCCCACTGATCGTATATATCCCCGTCCATACAGGTGGAGATTAATCCTGCCTTTTCATCGTCCCGCCGTTGTTGGCAGAATCGTACGGTGTGGCCCACCTCGCCACAATGCCAACGAGTTGCGTTCCGCCAGTCGAAGCGGGGTCTCCCGTACCCTTGGCCCCCTCCCTGACTGCCTTGGCCACCTTGGTTCTGATTCCCTTGACCATTCTAGCCTCCTCCACGGCCTCCACCATTTCCTCCTCGCCCCCGGCCGCCCCCTCCTCTACCTCCTTGGCCCCAACCCCCATTGCCCTGCCCGCCTTGTCCTTGGCCTCCTCCCCGGCCACACTAGCTTGTGAGGCCTGCTGGGAGGGTGACGGTTGAGCCACGGGCTGGCTTTGAGTCGCCGGGTAGCTCGGGGCGCCCATACTTGCGGATGGGCCTGAATAGGGGATCATGTGCCCCGCGTGGGCCTGACTCCCTCCACACGAGACGAAATGGTTACAACTGGGCCAGGACGTGGATTGGCAATGCGGCACCTAGTGTCCACAAGATGGCGGCGGCCCCATGTGCGATGATCCGGCTGGCGCGGGCGCTGGGGCGGCCGTGGCGACAGGTGGTGGTGCGGCAAGGGCTTGGGGAGCCTGCCCTTTCCCCGATCCCTGTCCCCCCAGTAGCAGATTACGCTGCTTCCTCTGGGCCTTAGTCAGGGCTTGGGAGCCCGTCTCCCCTCCGCCGTAGTCTTCGCGCCCTGCCTCCTCATCTCCTACTCTTGACGCCCGGCCTTGGGCCACTGCCACCACTCTTTTCTGTAGTTCTGCTTAGCTATCATACCCGAGTGACGCCAACACGTCCTTGACTATTCTCTTCACCCCTGGGGTCCCGGATGCAGTAGCATCCCTCTCCTTCCTCTTGAGCCTTTGCAGCCTCATTTGGTGCTGCTCCACCTGGTCCAGGTTCCCTTCTTCTACTCCCTTGTCAATGGTTGCCCAGGTGAGCCTCTCGCTTCCTTCCCCGTACTTCGTCAACTCTGTGGCCTCTGAGCCTGTAAGCAGCCCTAAAAATGTGGCGCACTGTGCCTCCTCAAAAATCCCGTGCACTTTCCTCGCCCTTTTTTTGAACTCGTGCAAAAACGCCCCAATGGTAGAGAAGTCTTCCTTGTTCATGGCCTCCAAGTCGGCCATGGTCAACAGGCCGTCCCCCAGCCTATACTTCCTTCGCATTAAGTCTCCAAACTTTGCCCAACTACCACCGGCGGCGTCCACAACCTTAGTTACTTCCCGATGGTGATTGTGCAGGACATACCTCAGGACCCGCTGGAGCTTGACCTCATCTGACAGTCCCACCAGCGCCTGCTCCGTTAGATCCAACCAATCAGATACCCGATCCCCTTTGAAGTGGAATGTCTCGACCTTTGGGACGTTGCTCGGCGCCCTCTCACGCTTGTCCAGGGCATCGATGAGGTCATCGAGAGTCACAAGCTTCCTCCCACCGTCCGCCACCTCCTCTGGCATTTTGGCCGACCGCCTTCAACTTCAATCTCCCTGTTATAAGAGACGATGGGACAGAGGACCCCACTCAGCGACTCAACCTTTCATGATCCTATCAAATTGACCACCTTAGACACCCCACACTCTAGACCTGACAGACATTCCTTCTCCCATTTCCCTTGGGCTCATCTAGATAACGCTTATCCCTATCATAGGACTTCCTCATCCACATACAACACTCAACTGTCAACCAAACCGCCAATCAATCAATCATCCAACCCATAGTCATATAGGTCACCATACGGTCTGTCTCATAACCCTTCTCTTTGCCCGCTCATATGCCTAGTTCCCCCTCACTCCCGTACCCGGATGTCGTTCCACTAGGGACAACGGTAGGCTTCCGTTATCCCCGGCAACGGCACCATCTGGCGAGCGCATCGGTTCGGCCGGCGCGGGCGCTAGGGCGGCCGTGGCGACAGGTGGTGGTGCGGCAAGGCGAGCACGCTAAGCTTATCCGACTACGCCCAGCATCGCCCCCCCCCCGCTATCTCCGAATGCACCCTGGTTGACCGCCCTCCTGGTTCATTTGCCACTCCGTTGACGTCAACCAAGGCTAGCCCTCCGGAGCGCGGCCACTAGTCCGCAGAGCCCGGCCAGCCTCTAGTACCACCCGGCCTCGACAGGCTGCCGCGCGGATCTGCCCCCCTTTTCGGGCCGGGTTCGCGTAGGTGAATGCTCCCCCTTTCCCCAATCCCCGTGTGTCGTCCTTGCGCAAGGGTCATGCTAATCTTTTCCATATCGTTCCAATTTTTCGGATGTCTCGAAGGATTTCCACCGGCGCGACACTTCAGCGCTCACTCGGCCCAAGCCGCCTTGCCACTGCGCACACCCCTAGTCCGTATTTTGGACCTTATGCGGGCCGGCCTCAAGCTGGGGCCATGCGAATCTTCTCTTCACCTCCCCACCTTTCGTAGGCCTCCCAGTTCCTCTGCCTGCCCCTACCCCCGTCCTTCGTCCAGGTTCGTTCCCGACCTCTGTACTGTTGACCCCGCAGATCTTTCCTATACCGATCCGATCTCCCGGGGCACCGGAGAACTTTGCCGTATCAGCACTTTCGGGCTTCCGCCCGCCCTCACGCCACTCCTCTCTACAACTTCCCTTGCATGGACCTAGCCCTATCTCGAGGCCGGATTCAGACATCTGCACCCCCGCCTGGTCATAGGCCATGGGGCAACCCTACGAGCCCAAACAACCCCTCATTTGCACGTACCCGGCCTATCTAGCGGCCAGGGTCATTCTTTGTTTGTGGGTATTACACCTTAGCGCAGTTATCGCGCGAATCTTTCGATTCGATTTTGACGCCGCCCAGGATAGCGCCCGCGGCCCGTCGCGGCCGGAACAGCTCCACCCACCGGTCCTCTACTGGATCCAGCCCCTCGTCCTTATTCCCGCACGCGCACCTGACTAGGCTAACGTTCCAGGTCCACTCACGGGGTCTGCCTCAGTCACCCTTACCTGGCCAACCATGCAGACCCCCTTTGTGTCGCCCTGGCGTTGATGAGTGCCTCGGGGAAACCTGACTACAGCACACGCCCCCCCCGCCTCTCCTTTTAGCAGCCCTCAGCCTTAATCTCAATGGGGTTTAAGTAACCCTCAAAAATAAAGAAGGAAAAGTAAGGCTGGGGGATCGTTTGAAGGGGGAAGCGAGCCGCGGGCCCT